CTTTCCTTTTCCTCCTCTCCTTCTTCTTCCTTCCTCCTCTCCTCCTCCTCTTTCCTTTTCCTCCTCTCCTTCTCCTTCCTTCCTCCTCCTCCCCCTCCCCCTCCCCTCAAGTAAGATTGCTGCCACCCCTCTGCAGGGCACTGTCCCAAACCACTGGCAATGCCCATAAAACACAGGCTAGACCAAGGGCCCCACGCCAGCCCAGACAAATGGTGGTCTAGTCTCTTCTTTAAAAACTCCCAGGGTTCGAGTAACCACAACTTCTGGTGGCAAGTCGTTCCGCTGGCTAATTCTTCTCCCTGGCAAGAAATTCCTCCTTCGTTCTAGGTTGCTGCACTTTCGGTCCCCAGAACCTTGGCACCTGCTGCCTGCTCAGCCCCCCCCCGCCCCCTCCCCCAGATTTCGGCCTCCCTCTGCCATTGCCAGCCGGCACCTTTGGGGTCCAGAGAACCCCCCCCCAATCCCCACCAACCGACCCTCTGCCCTCCAGCCGCAAGGGAACAGCTCAGAGGTGGGAGTCCACCAGTTCTGGAGAACCAGTAGCGGAAATTTTGAGTAGTTTGGAGAACCTCTGAGTGGCCCCTCTCCCTTCTATTCTCTGCCTCCGGAGTCCCAGCTGATTGGCTGGCTCTTCTTTCGGTTGCCCCGCACGGGAGAACGGAGCTGGAAAGCAGGTGAGTGGGGTGAGGGAGGGAAAGGAGATTTTATAGGATCCTTCCCCCTGCCACGCCCACCAAGCCACGCCCAGAGAACCGGTAGTAAATTCTGAATCCCACCCCCCCGGAACAGCTGCCCGGGGATGGGGGGGGCGTTGTTTGGCCTCCTTACCTGTTTTTGATGAAGGACGGGAAGTAGCGGACCGGGAACCAGAAGCCGTAAGAGATGCAGAGCGTCCAAAGGATGGATAGCTCGTCCAGGAGCTGCCCGGCGTAACTCAGGGTCATGTGGTAGTAGAAGGAGAAGACGCCTGCGGAGGAAGAGGGGCGACTTAACGGAATAAGCAAGTCGGAAGGGACCCTGGAGGTCTTCCAGTCCAGCCCCCCCCCCTCCCGTTCGAACAGGCCGTCTCCTCACCGGCAAAGCCTCTGGGTTCAATTGAGGCCCATCAGAACCCCCTGGACAGCGGCCATTCTCATCAACTCAGATCAATGTCCCGATGGCCTGCTTTACGACTGTCGTAATGGACGGCTGTAACCGGCGGGTTCTGTTACGGTCATAAGGTGAGGACCATGCTTTCTCCCAAAGGGTCCTTCCCACGGGTCACCCTCAACCTACGGCCACAATTGAGCTCCAAATTTAACGTTGCTAAGGGAGACGGTGGAGCTTCGCTTCATTTTACGATGCTTGGCAACCGACTTGTATTTATGACGGTCGCAGAGTCCCCGGGGTCAACGCGATTCCCCCTTTTGTGACCTTCTGGCAAGCAAAGTCCACGTGGGAAGCTCGATTTACTTAGTAACCGTGCGACCCACTGAACAACTGCACTGATTCACTTAACGACAGTGGCAAGGCAGGGCCGTAAAATGGGGTAAAACTGCCTTGCCTGGCAACCGACATGTTGGACTTTCTGAAGACTGCCTGTGTGAATACAGCGCTAAAACGAAGACGGGGCTAGTTCTCCTGAGGAGGATGCTCGGCTGGCCTACCGCGCAGGGCTGGCGGGGGGGAGGGCAGGCCTGGCCTTCTGCTCCTGCCTGGCCTTTGTGGCCACCTACCAATAATAAGCTGCAAGATGACGAAGCCCCGGATCGGCACAGGACGATAGCCAATGTAATCGGTGTTGAGCCACAGCATCATGGGGGCCAGGATGAAAAAGGCCACGTTGCTGATCTGGAGGAGGGAAAGAGGGAGGAGAAAGAGTGGGGGAGGGAGGGAGGGAGGGAGGAAGGAAGGGGGAAGTAGGGAAGGAGGAAGAGAAAGGGAGGAAGGAAGGAAGGAAGGAAGGAAGGAAGGAAGGAAGGAAGGAAGGAAGGAAGGAAGGAAGGAAGGAGGGAGGGAGGGAGGGAGGAAGGAAGGGGAGGGAGGGACGGAGGAAGGAAAGAAGGAAGGAAGGAAGGAAGGAAGGAAGGAAGGAAGGAGGGAGGGAGGGAGGGAAGGAAGGAAGGAAGGAAGGAAGGAAGGAAGGAAGGAAGGAAGGAAGGAAGGAAGGAAGGAAGGAAGGAGAGAAAGAGACAAAAAGGATTAGCAATATGAGAAACCCAGATGGGGCAAACCTGTCCGAGAGGCAAGGCCAGTGGCCCCCACTCTTTGACACCCGGGGAGCTACTAAGCCCACCGGGGCAGAACGAGGGATGTGGGGTTGTAGAGAGAGTTAGGATCACTTCTGAATTCTCTATCATTTTTTTCCTAGTTTTGTGTGTGCGTGATTTTTCCAAGCTTGGCTACTTTTAAAACTTTGGGACTTTAATTCCCAGAATTCGTCAGTCCTTGGGGGGGGGGGGGGGCTGGCTGGGGAATTCTGGGAGCCGAAATCCGTGAATCTTACCGTTGCCAAGTTCAGAGATCCCTGGTCCGAGACGGCGGTTTCTCCACCTGAAGACACCTGAAGGCCCGGATAGAAGAGAGCTGGGAGCAGCGGGGAGGGGTGTGGACTGAGACCGGTTCACCCCGGTTTGGGCGAACCGGTTGTTCATTTTTACGGTCCGTTCGGTGAACCGGCCAATCCCACCCCTGGCTGGCCCCTCCTGCCCTGCCCCTCCCCACCTCTTCCCGGAGTCCCCACGGAGCCCATTTTGGATTCCAGGTAAGTGAAGGGGCTCGAAGGGGTGAGGGCCAAAAACAGGCGGCTTCCCGGTGGCCTCTGGAGGCCATTTTCACCTTCCCAGAGTCTCCGAGAAAACCCTCCGGAGCCTGGGGAGGGTGAAAATGTCCTCCCCCCCCGCCATGGTACGGGAGGCCAACTAGGCCAACCCACCCAGCAACGAGGCCGAGAACCAGTTGCTAAATTTTTTTTGAAGCCCACTCCTGGCTGGAAGGGATCTGGCGGGTCATCTAGTCCAACCCTCTGCTCTAGCAGGAAGAACCGATACCGTTTCATCTAAGGGACGGTGAGACGAGTGAACTTCAACTCCCAGAATTCCCCAGCCAGCACAGGTGGATTTCAACGCCCAGACATCTGTTGGCTTGCGTCCTTTCCGGGGCATGGATATTCGCTTGTGGACGAGGACTTGGGCTAAGAAACGATGCCCCACCGACCCTAAATTCTCCCACCAGCGATCCATTGTCGGGATTCCTGCAAACCCTTTTAAGTGGGACCTCTGTTGGCGTGTGTGTGTGTGTGTGTGTGTGTGTGTTGCAACTTGGAGATCTCTAAGATTTGCATGCCTCCCTCCTGTCCTCAGATATATATATATTTTTTTCAAACATCCGGTTGGAATGGAGGGACGTCGTGCCTGCTGATAATAATTCTCAATCAGAATAGAGCTGGAAGGGAACTTGGAGGTCCTCTAGTCAACCCCATTGCTCGAGCGGAAGATCCTGTACCACATTTCAGACAAATGGCTGTCCATTTGTCTCTTCTTAAAAACCTCCAGTGACCCACAACTCCTGTAATCTGCAACTGCAAAAACATACGGACGACACAACTCAATCAGGGCAAAGCAATAGACACAATCTACATAGACTTCTGTAAAGCCTTTGATTCAGTGGTACACGACAAACTGCTCCTAAAACTAAAATCTTATGGTATCTCTGGACAACTGCACAGCTGGATAGAAGCATTCCTGTCAAACAGACAACAAATGGTCAAAATTGGGAGCATCCTATCAAATTCTGTACCTGTCAACAGTGGTGTCCACCCAAGGCAGCATTCTAGGACCAACTCTCTTCATCCTCTACATAAATGACCTCTGTGATCATATCAAGAGCAACTGCGTTCTTTTCGCTGACGATGTAAAGCTGTTCAATAACACAGACAATACTGCTACCCTTCAAAAAGATCTTGACTATGTATCAGAATAGTCAAACAAATGGCAACTTCAAATCTCAACAAATAAATGTTCCGCCTTACATATTGGCAAAAAAAAAATCAGAAAATAAAATAAAATAGTCAAGACCTTGTTGATGATCCAAACTCTGTCCAGGATCTTGAAGTCCTCATCTCTAATGACCTAAGTGCTAGAGTCCATTGTAACTACATAGCCAAAAAGGCATTAAGAGTTTTTAACCTAATCGTAACTTTGGTAATATCACACTACTAACTAGAGTATATAAAACATTTGCTAGACCAATACTTGAATACAGCTCATCAGTCTGGAACCCACATTACGTATCTGATATTAGCACAGTTGAGAAAGTCCAGAAATATTTCACAAGAAGAGTTCTCCACTCCTCTACTCGTTGCGGAAGACCTTATGCCACCAGACTTGAAATTCTAGACCTAGAAAACCTACAACTACGCCGCCTTCGGTCTGATCTAAGTATAGTATATAAAATTATACGTTGCAATGTCCTACCTGTCAATGAATACTTCAACTTCAACCAACAACACACGAGCAAATAATAGATACAAGCTCAAGATTAATCACACCAAACTTGATTGCAGGAAATACAACTTAAGCAACAGAGTGGTCAATGTCTGGAATACTCTACCTGACTCTGTTGCTTCTTCCCCAAACCCCAAAAACTTTTAACCTTAGACTGTCTACTATTGACCTCACCCCTTTCCTAAGAGGTCTGCTGGGGGCGTGCATAAGCGCACCAACGTGCCTACCGTCCCTGTCCTATCCTTTCTTTTATTTTTCTTATATGTACCCATTTCATGTATTCCTAACTATGTTTATACTTATACATATTATCTTATACTCGCTTGACAAAATAAAATAAATAAAAAAATAAAATAAATTGGCCTAGACCGAACAGAGGAACGGAAACAGGCTGTTTCCATGGCACGAGACGACTCCTTTGAACGATGAACTCGAACTATGAATAGACTAAGCCTGGAGGAATGTGTTGTGATTGTGGCAAAGTGGCACGTCTGTATTTGAAAGGTGACCCACACAGAAAGGAATGGCCACCCTCAAAGTGGACAGCAATTTTCTGACTGGAAGAAACATTCACCTTATGCCTCTCTCACCTGTCTCCTGAAGTCACATGGTGCATTAACAGAGGGATACAATCGAGATCAAGGGAGGGACTAATACCCCTCTATAAAGCCTTAGTAAGGCCACGCCTGGAATATTCTGCACCCAGTTTTGGTCACCACACTATAAAAAAAGATGTTGGGACTCTAGAAAAAGTGCAGAGAAGAGCAACCAGGAGGATGAGGGGACACTGGAGGCTAAAATATACAATGAACAGTTGCAGGAACTGGGCCTGGCTAGTCTAGGGAAGAGAAGGACCAGGGGAGACAGGAGAGCAGCCTTCCAATAGTTGAGGGGCTGCCCCAGCTATTTTCCAAGGCATCTGAAGGCCAGGCAAGGAATAATAATGGATGGAAACTGATCAAGGAGAGATTCAACCTGGAAATAAGGATAAATTTTCTGACAGTGCAGAATGGAACAGAAGTTGTTTTCAGAAGTTGCGGGAGCTTCTGAAAGCCTGGAGGCTTTCAAGAAGAGACTGGACTGCCACCTGTCAGAAATGGTGTAGGGTCTCCTGCTTGGGCAGGGAGGGGGGGGTTGGACTAGATGACCTCCAAGGTCCCTTCCAACTCTGATTATCTGTTATCTGCTCCATCACAGGGAAGTTTTCCAGAAAGGATTGGATGTTCTGGGAAGGGGGTTCTACTAGACTATTCCAGACAAACGGTTGTCCAATTTCTTCTTAAAAACCTCCAGTTTTGGAGCAGCCACAACTTCTGGAGTCCAGCAGTTCCACTGGTTAATTGTTCTCACTATCAGGAAATTCCTCCTTGGTTCGTTTCCGTCCATCGCTTCTTTTTTTTTAACAGAACTTTATTCAGTTTTTCACATTAAAAACAAAAATCTCTTTTTAGTGGACAACGTATTTCCGGGTCATCATCTTTACATACAAATATGACAGCAATTATACGTTGATATATGCATACTTAATTCTATTATTACCTTTTCCATTCCAGATTTCCAGTAAGGAGAGAAACAAACACATTAATTCTAGCCTCTTTCATTCATCTCAATCGATTTTGTTTCATTTCAATTATTTCAAATATAATCCTTTAGTATTTGTTTTTAAACATAAAGATAAACAATATGTGTTTGCCTAATAAATAATAATAAAGTTTAATTCTAAGTTCTTTCATTAATCTCAATCTAAACATCTTTTTATTTCATTTCAATTATTTCAAATATAATCCTTAATATTTATTTTAAAAATAAACAATATATATTTGCCTAATAGTGGTAATAATGAAGTTACCGATGTCTCTCCTTGCTTTTAATAATCTATATTAAACTTATTAATTTAGCTGGTTCTTTAGTCTGTCCTATTCCCTTTCCATGACACATTTTTTTTTATGAATTCTAAATTAATACAGATCTTAACACACCCACAAAAAAAGAAAAAAGAACACGTATAAGTTTCCCTTCTTTTACTATTTTGAGTGTGGCACCTTAATGATTAGAATATACCTTTATTCCCTCATCTTAATTCCCAATAAACCATTAATCATTACATCTTTTCAATTGGATTCCACAGCATATTTTCCCCCCCTTTAATAAGAGTTATCAGTATCTATATTACCCTATTTTCTAAATATTTTTAATTGCAGAGATATTCTTATTACCCCTTGTCACCCTGCAGAATCCCTTTTTTAATTCATCAACCATTATCTCTGAAAAAGCAATTTCCTTTTAACATTTTACTAGTTCTGTGTTTCTTTCTTTCACATGCCTGTTTCTTACTGCTTCTCCTCCCCCTCTTTTCCCCATATCTTTTCTCATTCCAGTTTATATCCCTCTCTTTCTTAATATCTTCCTTTCCTCTTTTCTGCTGAATCTTCCTGCCTTTTCTGACTTCACAGGTATTCCCCTCTTTTAATTGCTTTCTTAAAACTCAACTTTTTAACCTTCCTTCTTTCCCCACTTCTTTTGTAGCGTTCTTTGTGTTAATTGTCTATTTAAAATGTCTTCTCCTTGAGTCGATTCCTCCTCCTCTGAGAATCTTTCTTCTTGTTCTTCAATCGCCATTTCCATTTTTTCTAGCACAGAGCAAAGTGATTCGCCTCTTTCCTGTGGCAATTCTCTCATATTTTTAAGTTCCATTTTTAATTCCCGAAGAGATATCATCATTCTTATATTTTACGATCATTAAAAGTCCACAAAAAGAAACCACTTTTACTTTCCTTCTTTCTTCTTTCAGTTTTTTAAAGTTCTCAGCTATTCCAGCCCAGGGTTTATACCAAAAACATCAATCAGTCCCACAAACAATCTTTCCTTCCTTGCTTTTTCCTTTATTCTGGTTCTGCTTTCACTTTCTAAAATTCTTACTTTGTCTCAATATTTCTGTAATGTTATATCCACACCAGTTCATTCAAAAACAAGATGCTTTCCCTTTTATTTAAACTAAATTTTTATCAAAAGGTGACACTCTCCATTATACAAAGTCTTCACTTTTTTCCCCTATATTTTTATGTAAAGTTTTTCGAACCTCAATATTCCAACACAATCCAGTCTCCAATTTGTAAACTTTGTTATTATTATTCTTTGACAATCTTAAATCCAGCTTTGGTTTTATACTTGTTTATTCCCAAATTATTTTAGTCCAATTTCATTAAGTCTTTAATTCCAGCTTCTTCCTTTCCCGGTTCGAAGCCCCATTTAGCTGTCGAAAATATTTTTCTTTTTTTCTTTTCTGTCCCTTTGTAATTTCGCCGCTCACTTTTCTTTTCTTAAAAATTCTATGTTACCTTAATCCCGGGGTACTTTTGTTTGGTTATATTGCCCAGTTGTCCCGGTTCAGATGTTATCCACCTCTTTCTTCCCTCCTGCACATAACTTAGTCCAGCTGAGTCGTCCTCTTCGGGGTGGCCATTTTAGACCATCGCTGTGGTCATCTTCGGGAGGAAAAAAAACCAAGCCCGGGGGGGGGAGATGCGGCTCCCCACAATCTGGCTTGCGGCTTCCCCTTACTCTGCCGCCCCTCCAAGGCAGTTTCAGCCCCTAATCAGAATGGTTGGGGCTCTCGGACGAAAGAGCACGGACGATAGCCGCAGAGAGTTGCGATCTACCGTCTGTCGGCGAGGAGGCTCCGCCTTCTTCCCGTTTCCGTCCATTGCTTCTTGTTCTGCCTCCAGGAGTTTTGGAGAAGAGGCTGACTAGGTTGCAAGGAAATGAAACTGCAGAACTTTCTAGCAAATGACCACAAATCAGTGATTAACTGTATTCTTCTTCCGGGTCCACTGCTTTAATTGCTCAGGCTTCCACTGTTTAAGTGCAGGGACGGCAAACCTTTTCGGCAGCCAAGTGCCCAAACTGGAATGCATGTGCATGCGCACGCAGGAGAGCATGGCAGAGCACCAGAAACCTGAAGGCGAGCTGGCCAGTGCATGCCTGCCTGTTTTGGGGGTGTTTAGGGGAGTCATTTGGGGGTCATTTTCAGATGATTTGGGGGGCCGTTTTTGTCCTGAAAACGGCCCCCCAAAGGCCCCAAAATGGCCCAGAAAACAACCAGAAAACCAGCCAGGAAACAGCCTGGAAAAGAGCTGGGAAACGGTCCAAAAAGGCTGTAAAACAACCCCCCAAATGGCCTGAAAAATGGCCTGAAAAATCATCTGAAAACAGCCTGAAAAATGGCCTAAAAATGGTCTGGAAAAAAATGCCTTGTTTGGGGCCGTTTTTTCATGCCGTTTTCAGGCAGTTTCAGGCCATTTTCAGGTCATTTGGGGGGCATTTGGGGCCTGAAAACAGCCCCCAAACTAGCCAGAAAACAGCCTGGAAAACAAGCCAAAAAATGGCTGGAAAACAACCTGAAAAATAGCCCGAAAAAGGCCCCCAAACAGTCTAAAAATGCTCTGGGTTGGGCTATTTTTCGTGCCGTTTCCCAGCGCTCCGGTGCCCTTTCTCAACCGCGGCCTGTTGCCGAGACTGTGCGAAACGTACGGTTGGCACCCGGAAGGAGAAAACCCAGGGCGTTCGAGGCGTCCCTCGCTGCAAAGCGAACAGGCCTATAAGGCGGTGAAAAATTCAAGGTTCTAGACCTCAGGACTGGGCTGGATTCTGAATTGGCTGAGAAAACCCCACTGGCAGGTGAGGGGCAGCCATTTTCAGTAGCTGAGCAACCCCAGAGAACCGATGGTCTGAGCCGACGGGGGAACCCTTTTTGCTCTAGAAGGGGGTAGGGGGGACCATTTCACAGATGAACAGAGTTGGGAGGGACCTTGTAGGTCATCTAGTCCAACCCCCCTCTGCCCAAGCAGGAGACCCTGCACCATTTCTGACAGAGGGCAGTCCGGTCTCTTCTTGAAAGCCTCCAGGGATGAAGCTCCCACAACTTACTTACTTACTTTCTTTCTTTCTTTCTTTCCTTCCTTCCTTCCTTCCTTCCTTCTTTCCTTCCTTCCTTCCTTCCTTCCTTCCTTCCTTCTTTCCTTCTTCCTTCCTTCTTTCCTCTCTCTCTCTCTTTTTTCTTTCTTTCTCTTTCTTTCTACCTACTTACCTACCAACCTATCTATTATCAGATTAACAAAGTTGGGAGGGACCTTGTAGGTCATCTAGTCCAACCCCCCACCCAAGCAGGAGACCCTACACCAATTTCTGACCAATGGCACTCCAGTCTCTTCTTGAAACCCTCCAGGGATGAAGCTCCCACAACTTCTGAAGCCAACTTCTGTTCCATGCGTTGATTGTTCTCCCTGTCAGAAAGTTTCTCCTTATTTCCAGGTTGAATCTCTCCTGGATCAGTTTCCATCCATTATAATTCCTTGTCTGGCCTTCGGGTGCTTTGGAAAATAGCTTGACCCCCTTCCTCCTCCTCTCTGGGGCAGCCCCTCAACTATTGGAAGATGCTCTCCTGTGTCCCCTGGTCCTTCTCTTCCCTAGACTAGCCAGTTCCTGCAACCGTTGTTCATATGTTTCAGCCTCCAGTCCCCTCCTCATCCTGGTTGCTCTTCTCTGCCCTCTTTCTAGGTCATCTAGTCGAGCCCCCTCCTCAAAGCAAGAGATCTTCACCCCGTCCCAATCCAATGGCTGCCCACTCTATTCCTGCAAACCTCCAGTGGGGATAGAGCCCACCCACGCAGCCCCCTCGTACCCCCAGTGGATGGGCCGGAGGGAATTGAAGCACCTGCCCCCTTATCCCACAAGAGATTCTTGCACGTTCTCCGGAGAAGTTGCATTACCGAGTTGTAATATTCCGCAATATATTCCGAGCGCTCGAAGTTGGCTTCGCACCAGTCCACCTCGGAGCTGAGATAAGAGAAAACGTGCCGCATCCTGGCGCTGTCGACTCTGCCGTTCTAGGAGGGAAAGCGGGGGGAAAAAAAAAAGAAGAAGAGGGAAGAAATGAGGCAAAGTTGCCCGTCCAGCTTTTCTGCCTCTTGGCGCTCCCTTTTATGGGGCCCGGCCCACGCGGCCCAAGGGGTGAGCCCACGCACAGCCTGCCCTGCCGGATGCGTGGCCAAATTAACTTTATTATTAGATGGAGCGGATGGAGCGCCGTGTCTGACTAATTCTCCAAACTGTTGATTGTAATCTGCCTTTTGCAGCATGCTCAGGTCTGGTGGCCATGAGTTCCACAGGGGAATCGTCTCACCCGGGGAGGCCGCTCCTACCCAAAATGCCTCATTGGGATGCCAGAAAGGGCCGATTCCTGTCCGTCTCACCAAGGTCCCTTCCGACTCTCTTAATCTGTTGAATGGTGTAGGTTTTCCTGCTTGGGGGGGGGTGGACTAGATGACCTCCAAGATCCCTTCTGACTCTCTTAATCTGTTAAATGGTGTAGGTTCTCCTGCTTGGGGGGGGTTGGACTAGATGACTACCAAGGCCCCTTCCTATTCTGTTAATCTGTTAAATGATGTAGGTTCTCCTGCTTGGGCGGGGGGTTGGACTAGATGACCACCAAGGCCCCTTCCTATTCTGTTAATCTGTTAAATGATGTAGGTTCTCCTGCTTGGGCAGGGGGTTGGACTAGATGACCTCCAAGGTCCCTTCTGACTCTCTTAATCTGTTGAATGGTGTAGGTACTCCTGGTGGGTGGGGGGGCTGGGCTAGATGACCTCCAAGGTCCCTTCCAACTTTGCTAATCTGTTAAATGGTGTGGGTTCTCCTGCTTGGGTGCGGGGGGGTGGACTAAATGGCCTCAAAGGTCCCTTCCGACTCTCTTAATCTGTTGAATGGTGTAGGTTCTCCTGCTTGGGTG